TGAGCGACCTTTTCAGATGGCGTGGAATAACGGAGTGGCTTCCTAGCGATGGATACCAGTGGTTTGTGGTGAGTGAAGACAGTTGTTTTGCGACCGAACATATAATCGTTGAAGCGTTCTACGGCGTAAACCTGCGCCAGTATTTCCTTTTCAATTTGTGCGTAACGATGCTCGGTCTCCGTGAGCGTGTGACTGCGAAAAATCGACAGACTTACCGATTTGCGTAAACAACTCCAATGCCGTATTGACTACTGTCACACTGAATCTTAAGTGGGAGAGACCGATGAAAGTTGGCGAGGACAGGCGCTTCTGTAATTAATTCCTTGATCTTCCGAAAAGCATTTATTGTTTAGAACTCCAGTGCCAAGCTTCACCCTTATGGGCCAACTTTCGAATCGGTATCATCACATCAGCCACTCTTGGAAGGAAACGGCTCAAGTAGTTGATCATCCCGTTCAGCCTGCTAGTTGCCTTTGCCTTAGTGAAAATCATCCGGTTTATGGCCCTAAATTTCTCTGCGTCCGATTTCAACCCTGTCGAACTCAGCACGTGTCCATGAAATGTCACCACGGTTTCACGTAGCTCGACTTTCTCACACTTCAGTTTGATGGTTCTTCCACTACAGCGTTGCAGAAACTAGTGAAGATGACGATCATGTTCCTCTCGAGTAGCACCAAAAAATAGCATCATCTGCTACGCAAAGCACTCCATTGCTTGCGGCAGCCGCTTCTGAAATATCTCGCTGGATACGTCCAGACCGAAGGGCAAACGAAGCCATCTAAAATGCTCAAAAGGCGTCCCAAATGTAGTCAGCTCGACTCTTCTTCAAATAATATGTACCAGAATGCTAAAGCAAGGTCGACTTTCGTAAACATCTTAGCCTTCGATAACTCCGGTAGCATATCGTCTGGTATCGGCCGGGTATAGTACTCTCTTCTGAGCCAGGCGTTAAGCGGTTTTGGCCCGATACACACATGCGAATCACCGGATTTCTTAGTGACGATTGCCACTCGACTTACCCAATTGGTCGGTTCATGGACCTTGGCTATGACACCAAAACTGGACAACCGCTGCAGTTCTTCTAGTAGCCTTTCGCGCAAAGCTATAGGCACCTTTCTAGCTGGCAGGGCTGCTGGCCTAGCAGATTCGTTTAATGCTAAATGAGCGCATCCCTCGAATTCTCAATGACCACACCAAACACGGCAGGATACAAATCGACAATATCTGCAACAGTCCGACATGAGTAAACAAAACGATTATGGTTAAACGAAACAAAACCAAGGCGCTGGATGGAATCAGTGCCCAAAGTGGGCATAAGATCTGATGACAACCAGAAATTCAAGTTGGTGTTCCATTTCGTTCTTCGGGTTGACAACCGTCACGATAGCTTTCCCTTTCGGTTGTAGTCTCGAGCCGTTCAACCTTTTGAGACAACTCAGTGCCTCCTTGCATTTTACTCCGGCACAATGCCTCGGGCAGTAAGTTGACGGTGGCTCCCGAATCGAGTTAAAAGCGAACTAGATGTCCTTGAATTAATAGTGCAGCAAAAATACTCCATGTTGTTTATTGAGAGCTGTGTGTCGCGTTGACTTTCCTTGTCTACTCTGCTGATGTTGGCCAATTTGCAACAGCGAGCAAAAAGGTTATTTTTTGTACACTTCATACAGGTCTAGCCCCAAGCTGCACAACTTTCCTTTCGCCTTGGATGCTTCTGACCACAAAACTGACAGCTGGACTCCTGCCCTTGGGATGGCAGGGATGGGGATTCCTTGGTCTTTGATACTGCACAAAGTTCTTCTGTCATGCCCGCCCACAAATTCTGGAACTGCTGTGATGTTCTGGTTTCGCTAAGGCAGATGTCTGATTCAGGGATAGGTTTCTCTGCCTCATAACGCTTCGAGTGAGGTCGTCATTTTTAATGCCGACTACGATGCGGTCCCATACCGCACACAGTCATAGAAGTTGCACGTTCGCGCCAGAACTTTCGATACTGTAATGTAGGTCCCAACTGACTCGTCCGGTAGCGACCAAAAAACAGATATCTCTCGTACGTTTCGTTTGCTTGGCCTTAGCAATATTTGCCAAGTCTCTATCTCTGAAATATCCGGCTCCTGAGGTCCATAGTCTCAAATACTCGTTTGACTACATCGCTGATAGCGTGTTTGAATATAGCAAGTTGGTAAGACATCGGATGGAAATTCAACTGAGTCCGCGTGATGGAATCCGTCCACTTCGTCTTCCACATCCTCCAGTTGTCAGGAAGCGTGGTTTCTGTCATCTGCAGAGCAGTGGACAGTGGAATCGACAGCTGTCCACCAAAAGCGAGCGGAGTCCGGCGCATCAGCTTCTCTGTCACCATGTCGAGTAGCCCTCCAGGAATCAAGAACGAAGTCTGGGCGGCGATCGAAAATCATTATTAAGGAGAATCGTGGTTTTTAATAGACTAGCTACGGTATTTTGCTGTCGTCTGTTTATTGGCTGTCCCTTGTTAATTGTCTTGTGAAGTTAGCTCCAACCAATTGGTTCATGCTCATTCTTCAGTTGAGTTGATTGACATTTACTGAACCCAGGGTTACGTCGAGCCGCGTTGTTGTCATCGCCGATAGACTGCATGGTGGCGTCTGATTGACTATTGGTCTATTAAGTTGATGCTTCCCCTACTGGCCAGCTGACAGCGGTGCGTGTCGTTAAACTGGATTCTGGCGTGAGCCGCCACTCGCCATACAACCGACCAATCCGCTTCCTAGATGCCGCAAATCATTCTGTCCCTCTTGTGTGATTGGCCGGACTAGTCGTGCGCATTTCGCCGTCGTTTGCTTGGCCCCCGGTCCATCGTTACCGCGACGATTTCCTTTGCCTCAGTTTTCAGCCACCATCAAAGAGGCAAGCAATGACTTGGTCAAGAGGAATGCTCTTTGGTTAGAAGTTAGTCCCAGTTGGAGCTTATCGCCTCCCTGGTTTGGGTCCGAAAAATGATTAACATGTTTGGCTGGATACACTTGTTGACATCGCTAGGAGCCGACCTCAGCGGCGTCTGTGTTGTGAGTTTCCTTACCCCTCCAACCCCCTTAGCCTCCCCCTCCAACCGCGATCTTATTTTCTAGCATAATATAAATTTTGCATAAATTTTTGCGGCACAATGGCCGGCTGATAGCTTTCCGGAACGATGTCCATCCGTTACTGTTAGCTCAGCCCTCGTGAATGTTGTATGCCTTTTCTTTTCTTTTATATATTGCGGCACAATAGCTGAGATGTTTTTCACGTCTAGCTAACGCGTATAATAAAGATGATAATTCGCATTGTGACAACGCGACTTCTAGACCGCAAAGCAACAGGTTTTCGTGGCCAGCCTCGTCTCGTCAAAACTCATGTCCGGCGTTGTGAGTTATTTGTGCTATAAATAAGAGGGTGTCCCTACTTGTGTCGCGTTTCACTGGGTTAGTAAAAGCGTTCGTGTCAGAGGCCTGTTTTTTATCTGGTCAGTAGTGCGGTCGTTAGGCCACTTTCGCCTTACATGGGTGCGTCACTCAGTTGGCAGGTTTTCCGCTCATCGTCTATGCGGTGGATAGGTTTCGTAAGGGCTTAACCGTCTACTCGACGCATGGGAACGACACCAAGCGAACGTCATTGGGTTCGTTCAGCGAAAGAGCCACTCATACCAGGTTGGTCAATGGTTATGGGCTAGACAAACAGTTCCCTGGCTCTCCATATTGAGGATTGGAGTGAGGGTGGCTCCTTATTTGTGTAAACGGAATCTCTGCAGCCCACTCCCAAACTCCCACTGCCCTGCATTAAAGTTCATGAACCAATAGTTTTGGTTGAGGACCCGTGGTTCTGGTGTCTAGACCTGGGAAATCTGATAGTAGAATCCGTGCGCAGTACAACGTATCCTTCCTAAAACAGTTTCCTGATGGTCTGACAGCGCCCTGTCTACGGGATCGAGCTCAATTTTACTTTAATATTCGTTTGTCCTATCGTTTCGACTCATACGCAGTCACAGAACGTCACTTTTTACCTTTTAACAACTCTACGCCCAACCAAAGCTGCTATCCCTTTGTTTGTTCTTTTCACAGCCCTCGGTTCTCTCTAGGGCTAGTATGTCCCAATGTGCTTTTTTTGTTCAGATCGGTCAACATAGCACTTGCCTGAACATGTGCCTCTATCGGTCGATATCTGCTGCTTATCGAAAACCCGCCTACAAGACTCGAGCTCTGTGCTCACCCTACAATCCCTTTTATGTGATATTAGCGGTACTTTCTGGAGATAACGCAGCTTACAATGCCGATCAAGCCGGTATGGCCATTACCCCGAGCCCCCTGGCTTCGGCTGCTCCGATAGATTGGATCCCCTTCAGCAGCCGGATACGCGCCGTCAGACTGGCTGACTCGTTTAAGGCTTCGAAGTCGCGCGAGCGCAATAGACGCCTGTTTGTCATTGCTGCCTACGCCCCTACAAACCTTGGCGCTGACTTTATGAAAGATTATTTCTGTACTAACTGTTGGCGTTGTCAAACAGACCAAGTTTGATTGACTGTTTCTGGGCATCCAATCAGCCAGCGAGGAATCAGACAATCAGTAGATTGCGTTTAGCTAATGGATATGGTCTGCCAACGGCTTTGCAGCGCTTTTCGTGAACGTTTAGGGGGCTTCAGGAACTGCGCATTGTAATGGCGACAGACAACTCGGCAAATGGTGTAGTTAACGGCGCTTCTGACAAATATTGGGGCACACATTGGGCTTCTCCCTCGATCAGCCATGTGTTCAGCTTCCCATTTACCGCAGTTGAATTTGGTGCTTGATTCCACCCCGAAATATGCAGCTAGTTGGTCCCACCTAAACCCCCATCCGATACAATGGCGTTCCCACGTTTTAGTGAACAAGTTTCATTTAGGCTATTGGCTCGGGCTTTTTCGAATACTTACTCCAGCTTACCAACCACCTATCTACTCCATTACATATGTGACCAGACATTCACTTCTGTTCGGCTTTGCTTCTTTCCAGAGCAGTGCACGTCGGAGAAGCATACACAAGACCAGTGGGATCTGATTTTACGTGTATGTGAGGAGTATGCAAGTAAGGAGTACGTTCACTCTGCATAAGTCTTTTCACACAACCGATCCATTGCAGACCGAAAGCATGCTTAAAAGCAATCGGAAAACGTATCTTTCACAAAAATCCGAATGTGTCCCTTCGAGCGATCACGGTAACTTGTTCGACGGTTCCCCTTCCACTCACCAATTCATTCAGCTCCTAGACGCTTGCAGCAAAAACTGCGGCAAACCTTTCAACCGGGAATGCGCATCAAGGGATTTCACACAACTCGTTAAGAGCAAGTTTTCGGTACGTTTTGCTTTCTTCTTGGTTTCATACTAATTTATGTGCATTTCAGCATTTGCAAAGAATTCCAAGCGTAAAGCTGGTTGAAGTTTTTGAAAAGTGGTCCGAAGAATTCAAACTGGATTCAGAGTTGGCGTATGTTGAAAATTCTTGCGCCCCTATCAACTACTAATCTGTGCATTGCATTTCAGGTTGGCCGCCAGTCTATATGCATGGGTCAAATCAGATCATTATGACGTGATCCGAAATTTGTTGGAGGATAGAAAAGTAACTCAACGTATCTACCTTCTTCGTGTTTCATTCTTTGTAGCTGAACCGCGCTTTTTGAGCTTGGTCCACTAAATAATGTAACTGCTTTCGAGGTGTAGTTATGTAAAATCCAAATATCTGCGTTGGCAAGGGGAAATTTTTCATTGGTCTTATAGTTTCATTCGTTTTCGATGTCTGCGTCGACTGCTACATACGTGGAATGGCACAGTTCCAGACTAGCGGAACATCTGCTGAGCTGACAGTATTATGATCTTCGACGGAAGTGTTTGTGTTCAGGTTTGAATTGGAGGGATGATCACGCGTCTTTCCTAACGAATTCCCACCTGCGATTACCAGCTGACAGTTGTCTTGGTGATCCGCGGTGTAGTGATTCGGACTTTAGATTTGCAGCATATGTTCCCCGAATTCGAACTCCCATCTGATTGTATCTCGGGCCGATGACGATTACATACCAGTACAAACTGCCGGCGCGCTACCTTTCCTTTTTTCCGGTACCATTAACGGGACACGTATGATCTTCGTAATTACAATAGCTATTATTAAACACATGGATCGACAGGCTGTGAACCCGATTCACTAGCGCGGGAGTATTTGATCCCGTAGTTCTGATTGTTATCAGGCTACCTCGAGTACGTTTGGTTTGATGGTGTTTCCAAAGTTGTACCGTATTCTACATCTCGGTGACTTCCTTGTGCTGAGGCAAATGCTGCACTTAAATGTTGCATGAGAACGATAGCCATATCCACGGCTGACAATTTTTATAACGTTTTTCACCATATTTCGAAAGAGTTGTACAGAATTCATTTCTACTTGCTCTATAATACAGTATTCAGATGGAGCCGTTCAAGTTACTTTCTCGTGGTAGGCAGTTTTAACTCCTTTTTACAGTGCTGAATGCTTCGACTGTATCAAACAAATTGACTTTGTTGTGCGAATACTTGCTCATCGATGAATATATATATATATATATATATATATATATATATATATATATATTTGCAAAAGTCTGCTAACAGACATAATGCCATCAGAAACCATGGGATTCAAACGAAGGTACAGAAACAGTAAAATAAAACATAACACAACAATGTCCATGGTTTCTTCAGAGGGCGAGATACTACCCGGTTGCCCAAGCCGAAGTAGGGTGTTGACTTAGGGGACACCACCCCGAGCCTTTGGCTGAATAGCCTGCCCGCAAGGCAGCGGAGCGAATTCAGGGAATCGCGCCCATTGGGAGCCGGTGACTGATTGCTCAGTTCATACGCCTTTCGTTTGTTCCTTTGTCAAACAGGGGCCCAATGCTCCCCAGAAGTACAGCATAAGGTTGCTGGAATACAATGCTTCGCCAGGATGAAGCAAGGGGCAGTGACTTTATTTAGTGGCGAGTCACGTCCGCCACGTCACAGTGTTGTTAAACGGACATATGTGGCTTTCTATAGGGAGAACGCTTGCCAGGCGAAAACCCACCACGTCCTGGAACACTGCCGCCGAACCATTTGCTGGAACGGGAAAATCCCGAACCACCCAGCTGGCACCACGAGGAGGTTGTTCGGCAAGCCAGCCCGATGAAAATGTAATCATGTAGAATTTCTATGGAGTTGAAGACACAAACAACGGCGGAGAGTTCGGGTGATTGGTGAGAGTATCACGAGGCATAGACGAACAGGCGGAGAGATGTTATGTTGGAGATTATGGAAGAATAGAGTGAAATTGATTTTGTGGCTTTGTCGACATTAACTGTTTTCTCAAATTCGTCGTATAAGACACCATTGGGAGCTACGCATACTTTTCCGGTGTACGTTCTGTTATTTGCTACTACACTGCCTTGGTTTCGAATAAGCCAGCTTGCTTTAAAGAGTTGAATTCTGATCTTGGTGGTTGTTTCATCTCCCAGTTAGTGCTAACATCCCCAAACCCAGATGGACCGGGTAGTAGGCGGTATATGTATTTTCAACATTCTGAGGATTGCTGTTAGAGTCATCGGAAACCATGAAAATCATAGGAATGTACAGTTATCGTGAAAAAAACCGAACACAATACGGAGGGATTCATGGTTTGCTCAGATGGTTGCCCAGTCCGAAGTATGGGGTTGACTTATGGGAAACCGCCCTGGGCCTTTGGCTGTGTAGCCTTCCCACAAGGCAGATAAGCGAAATCAAGCAATCACGCTTATTGGAAGCCGGTGAGGGATTTTTCAGTTCAAACGCCTCTGATTTCGTGAGTTGCCAGGCGCGGACCCAATACACCCTGCACCCATTCTCTGAACTGCAACGCTCCACCGAGATGAATCAAGAGACAGTGACTGTAGTCAGTAGCCAGTCACATCCTCCACGTCGCAGTATTGTTAGACGCGTGTTTGTGTCTCTATAAAGAGATCGCTTGCCAGGCGGAAACCCACAACGTCTTGAAACATTGTCGTTGAACTATTTTCTGGAACGGGGTAAACCCAAGCCACCCAGCCAGCCTAGTAAGCGTTAGCAAGTAGGCCGATGTGGTCAACCGTCAGCTGCGTTTTCCAGCCGGCTGTGCCATCTCAGATGGTCAGCTCTGTCCAGCTTGGCAATATCCATTCCTGCTTCTGTTTCACATCCCATTTTCTAATTGTCGAAAATTCACTGAAAAGTAGCTTACTCATCAAAGGCGAGGAAACGATACTAGCAGCGCGTTTGACTCACAGAACGCCTCAGTTCTATGAACGACATCTCCGGACCAATTGGATTCCTCCTTTGGCTCATTTAAACGATAGACGACAGCTGCGTAGACAGATATTTGTATCTACTATGTATGATGGACGAATCCGACAGGTTCACTTCCACTTGGCGGCCTGGCTCTTCTCTTGGGTCCATCTGTTCGCTCCAGCTGGGCACTCATCACTCAACAGACACGTATTACTGTGTGATTTCACCCGTTTTGCTAGACCGCAGCGATACTGCCAAAAACGTATGAAGAGATGGTAAGGCGCCTAATGACAGTAGGATGAGCGCACCACGTGTAGGCGCACCCTGGGAGCATTTTTCATTCCACTTCGAATTAGTCAAGACGTCTTTCTAATATGTGTCATTGTGGTCAATCCCTTATTTTATTACAACGACAGGTGTTTGTAAACGAACCAACAGGTCTGGCGAAGTACAGTACAGTAACATTTTTTAGCTAACAAAGTTCGACTGACTTATAGCTGCGATACGCCATCGTACGTACTTTCAGCTGACATCAAGCACTTGTTCCGTTTCATCTCGTTTTTGTTAACCGAAGTTCTGTACATCTTTTTAAGAAATTCTCGGTTCCACTTCTCGTGTGATGAGTGTGGGGAATATTTATTGACGTCGGCTGTACGCTGTAAGGCGCAACTGTAATATACATCGCGACCCTCTGGGAGCCACATCAGTTCAACCCACTTTGTTTTTTCGATGCACCAAACGCAGTTAATAGGCATGTACACAACCTTCCTTGCCCCCTCCCCGTCTCTTTAGGGACCTCCGAAAGCTTTTGTTTAGCTCTCTTACCTAAAACGTAAATCCGGATGACAGCGAACCTTATCTACTCAGAACATTTCCTCCCCGTGCTGTACACCACCACAAAGTCTATGTTTGACGTGGGTTGCATTCATCACCGAACGTTTTGTTGCTTTAGTCCTTTACCATGTCTATTCTAAGAAGGAATAGCTCTCCACTTTTCATTTATCAATTAACGACGACAGCTGCTCTTGATAACTGTAGTGTACGAATAGATAATTGTTTTGGGGTAAAATTTGATCTTGCTGCGACCTTATCAGAGAGTCTAACTGAAAAAGCTGCCCGCTTCGTATGTGATGTGAGCCTAATTAGGCCTTCGTTGTTCGGTAAAGATGTTTCGCATATTTTCAGCAGCACCACATAGTGCTCTTTGATTCGCAACACTGGTGCCTAGGTAGCAGTCGACCGAGACGAACCAAATTGGTCGACAGCCGTAGACTGTGAAAGAACTCGGAGCAGATTGGATCCGTGACTTAGGCATGTAGTGGCCACGGCGCAAATTATAGGGAGTATACCAGAGAACAGGGATTGTGCCATTGCGACAGCTTGTGCACCTATTCGTTACCTTTATGTGTGTTACCCATCTCTTTCAGGCTGTCAAGGCTGGCGTGGTCCGACGGAGCGCGGCACAACTGAAGGCCAAAGAAGATGAAGAACTCGCAAAGGGTATGTGCATATTGCTTATTTGAAAATCGATAGGTCGCTCTCTATGTTATACCTTTGGTCCTAGTTTCTAGGAGCTCCGTTTCAGACTGCATATCATCCACTGACAGTGAGCTATTCTCTGACATTTCTACAACAGTCTCATTCGATTGCGTTTAGACATATTGCAACAACAAGATATAGCACCAAGCAACAACTCTAGAGCAGGGAAATTTGGTCGCTTCGGTCTGAAAATATCAAGCGCCTTCAAGTTTTTGAGGGTAGTTGCTCACGAAGTGATCTTCTTGTCAGCTGGTATCAGCGTGCTGCAACAACGCGTTGAAGAGGCAAGCATTGGTTGGCGATGGTCAAATCAGTTGGTTACATTGACATGTGAGCCAAACGGGCTGTGTTAGCTTGATCACATGTTGCGTACAGCTGCTCACTGCTTCTGTCTGATGTGGAATGTTGCAACGTACTTATGACTTAGTGTTTGAAAACGTAATCACAGGATACCAAGCTGGTCTATCTCGTGATCGACCCTGTGCCTGACTCGATACATTACAGGACACAGTTGGCAACCGGCACCAGTAGGGTTTCTGCTGTCGTCCTCTGGTTGGATTTCCTGGTTCGAGTTTGGCGCTGTTACCTGTGGCTTAAGTGGAATCCGATGTGATATCTAGTGCAGGAAAGTACTGAGTTCAGAGAGGTTAGGAAACAATATGCTGGCAACGTTTCGCTTTTGACACAAAAGTTTCGTCAGGCCAGGTGTATCAGTGGGCATTTGCAGCGGCATTTTGTCGCGGTACTAAGGTATCTGTCGTCGATGCCGCCTAAGTCACTGCAGCGAGCAGATTCCTTTTTCGCATTTCGTCACCAAACTGGTCACAATGTGTTAATAGACGCTGGCGTCTGAAGTGAAAGAAAAGATTAACTGTGACGTCGGATCTGTGGCCGAAATATATATATATATATATATATATATTAACATTTGGTCAATTAACTATTGGCAGAGTGCCACAACACATGGGTAACAGTAAAAATAAGGGAGAAAGGACACTCAGGAGATGGGACACGTAGGCTCACGTGCTTTGTGGGCAGATAACTTCCCGTTTGCCCATACTGAGGAAGTGGTCCCAATCAGACTTGCATATGTGTCTCAACTGTACATGTATCTTTTGTCAAGTGGAGATCACCATCGGTTGGTGCGCTAGCAATAAAAATCGTGTCAGCTGTACGCCGCAACGGCGCTTCGCTGCCACGCGACCATCACGTCGCGCGTGGGCTGAGTATATCGCGAGGACACCCGCTCCTACGCGGATTCGAGCCGGTGACCTTATGATTACAAGCCAGACGTGCAGACCATTCGGCCGAGAGGTGCGCTAGTACAACATATCAATGGCTCCATCTCTGATTGTGGTGAGATTCATGTGCTCATGAACTGCTTTTTTGATATGATGGGGTTTGCGCAAACGAGTCCCAATGACCCAGCGTCGGTTTTGGTTCGACGCCCCACTGGTTTCAACCGGATTCTTGTAGTACGACTAAGCGTGTGAAATTCTTCAGAAAGCACGATGTTGTGGTTTTTCTCAACTAGATATGTAGCGATTACCGTTGAAGGAATTTTCATTAGTCTGCCTGCATGATTCTTCTTTTTTACCCCTCTGTGCACGTGCAGTATGATGTGGCCTGCGTAGCTCACCTTAATGGAACAATAGTATTAGTATTCACAAATAGAACAGCGTCTATTGGGGAACAGACATGGGTTTGCGACCGAAAATTAGAGGTTGTGTAGATTGAAGTTGCCGGCTTGCCCGCCCGCCCGCAACACTGCACTCTACGACAGGTTTCCTACTAGTTTGCACACGGGAGATAGCAGGAATGCGATGTGACGTATTATTATTGTTATTATTATTATTATTCAACATTTGAGCAATACACACTTGACAGCACCACAACATATGGTTATTTACAACGAAAAGGGGGACGAACAGGTAGTCAATGGAAGGACTAAGAAGGTTTATGCGTTGTGTGGGCATAGATCTTCCTGGTTGCCAGGGCCGAGGAAGTGGATTAACTTAAAGCACCCCACCTCGAACCTTTGATCATAACGACCTGATCTGCAAGACAGCGGGGCAATTCACGAAGACCGTTGACAGCCGGGTGGTTCATTCGCCTTCTTTATGTCCGGTAGCAGTCCGCAGAGAAGCCGGTGGCTAACGAGGTTGTTCATCCGCTCCGTTAGGTACTCACATCTGGATACAGAAGTGATTGGTCAGTGACCCTATAGCCGATCACACTGGCTTTGACACAGCGCCATACGAGCTCTTGTGGTATTTTATAAAGAACCAGGTGACTAGCCCATAACTTCCCACGCCCTGAGATGCTGCTGCTGATTGTCCGCGGCTGCTTATTCATCTCTCTTGCAAAGCAAACGAGACTTATTCGCAGTTACCTCCACAAGAAAGGCATTCCTCAATCAGCAACCTGAGGACGCACCCGATAGCATACAGCTCCGCCACGGGGAATCCAGGACGCAGAGGGCTTTATCCTTGAGTCACCGAGTCACGGTGGGCAATTCCTCTCACAACGGTTGTTAATGACTCATGGGGCCATTTGGGTGGCGCCACTTCTTTTCTAAGCGAACCGAGGTCCAAATTAAGATTGCGCCTCGCACTGCATCCACACTACAAGTGCTTCGAAATGATCCCCAGCCGAAGCAGTTGTGTGGCGTTAAAGGTGGCTGATACGGCTCTCTCCGTTTTCATTTTGTGTCAGCTGCAGCGTCTTTAACTGACAGAGGTTTTCACATGGCTTTCACGTCTTCCTGTGAATGACTCAGGATGGCCAGCGCTAACCGACGCGTTTCGTACAAATACACTATCCTACTGTTAAAGATGCGATTTCTTTGTTTTGGTGAAATGAAACTAGTAATGAGTGCACTGCTCTGCGTTTTAAGAATTCATCGACGCACCTGCGACAAATCTGCCTCCGTAGTGAATCAAATGTCTGTTAGCGTAACTAAACTACCGCAAAATTTCATTCTGCTCTGATTTGATGTGCAAAACTTACGGAAACGTCATGTGTTCTCTCAGAGCTATGCCCGACCGGCGCTGACGTGCCACGTGTCACAGTGAGTCACGTTTTCTCTCAGTGATAAATGACGTGGCGTGGACATTATAAAGAAGTTGGATTCTGTGTACAGTCGTCTGGCAAAGCTCATGTCATGTGGGGGACGCTTTGTGCTGCGAACTCGAGTGTACAGCCCTGTGTTCGCCTTTGGTTAAGCCGGTAGACTACTTCTGTTGAAGGTCAGTGTTCTACACTTAGTTCACGCTTATGCTGTGTGGTTTCGCGTTTCGTTACGCGTGTGGGGTGGATGTTGATCTTCTTCATCGTCCAATCAGTGGTTAGGATTCGAAAGGTCTTAGTCGATCATAATTCCGTCAGTTACTCTGCGCGCGTGGTTCATTTGGTTTGTCGGATATGGTGGATATAAGAAAGGTAACTCATCCAAGTGCAGTTTGCACAGTGCCGGTTTTCTATAGGTTTGCACAGTGATTCGTTCTATGGACGGAAACAGCAATCGAAGAGACATCATTGGGATCAGAGAACCACTAGACGGTACGTTATGTGTACGAGGATGAGGCATATGCTCAGTTTGTTCACCAGTACCCAGTTACAGGTGCCATGTGACTATACATGCTGTATCCACAGTGACCAGGGAAATTTCTTGGCATTCCGACCTGGCTACATACGGCCACTATGTTTTTATCTTGATTCCCTTTATCCCACCCGGCTCCCCACAGGACTTTCCAATTTCGGGAGGTTTCCGGCCGAGCATCTGTGCTTTTGATCGCGAGTTATTGAATTATTATTCCTAATCGTTATTAAATTCATTCACTAAAGCAGAGTTCAAGGTCGAAAGTATGTGCTTTTTGCTGTCCGAAACTGAAGCGCATCACTTAAGCGTCAAACAGCTACCTCGCCACATGCAACTGTTCTTGATAATATTACCACAGAGCAACTGAATTTTAGATAAAATAACAATATTTCTCTTGTGATTGTAACCATCCACCACCTGGAGCGCGGAAACTCTTTGATCGGTTTCTGGAAAGTCTTTCTGGACGTTATCCCTTGGGTCGTAGTACGATGTTGTGCCACAACAAAATACAGACGTACACCCACTTGTTTGCACCTAGTGGGAGACTCTCACCTTACTTCTCTTTTACTATTCTCCACGGGCGGAGCTACTTATATGTGTCCACTTTACTACTGGGAGCTTTAACTTTTCTCACACGAGTTTTTAACTTTTTACTTCGTCTAGCGATCGCATTGTCTCTGAAAGAATCCGATGGCAAAAGACCCACAGACTCATCAACTCCATCTGCCGTCACTTCCCAACCCTCCAACAACGCAACCAACGTCTTGCCCGATACGAGCAAGGCCACCACTCTGTATCCCAACTTCTTCGACTCAATCGCCAACCCAGCCCGCCCCCTTGCGAAGGGTCGTGTTCGTGCCTTATACGATTTTGAGGCTGCTGAGGACAATGAATTGACCTTCAAGGCGGGCGAATTGATTGTGCTGCAGGATGATTCTGATGAGAATTGGTGGCGTGGGAGCAACCATCGTGGTGAAGGCCTGTTTCCGGCCCAGTTTGTCACACGAGAAGAAGATGAGCCGGGCAGTTCAAAGGTTCCCTTGGCTACGACTTCTGCGAAGACAGCTGTTGCAGCGCCGATCACGCAGCCTCAGGCTCCTGTCCGTTTGGACAGCAATAAGCTGGGATGAATGTCTTCGATTGATAAACTCGGTTGATGTCACCGGTGAACTTCAGCCAGATCCGCCTGAGTTACCCCAACTAGAGGCCGAGGTGTTACGCGATGGCCCCTCTAATCGATCCAGAATTGGAAAAAGTCGACAGACGCATTATGATGNNNTTAACGCAACAAAATTACCGAAGATAAGCGCAATTAGTGTAAGCAACGTGGCCAGTTAATAGAACATTATTCAGGGAGGCAGAACAAACCAAATAAAGCGGAATGAAATTTATCCAGCTTAAAAAGACCTAGTTTAAGTGTAAGTTGGTTTAGCCCAACTGTGGTGAAGAAGCATCAAGAATGCAACATCAGCCTCAGCATGGGGCACACATACATACATGGTTGGCGGCATCCGGTTTCGGATTTGCCTGTCACTGTGGCAAGCCACAGGACGCCTGCGCCTACAGAGGGACCATGGATGGCTTGCGCTGCACCACCCACAGCTCCAACCACATACCCCATATCCAGTGTAAACCCGAAGGAATAAGACCGGGAGGCATGCGGATGGGAACCACGTTTCATCAACGGAGCCGGCCCACACTCCTTCACAGGCAAACACAAGCACGCTGTATTTGGGGAATCAAGCGCACACAAGGCGGTGGCTGGACCGTAGTCCGCTCCACACTGAGTGCATGGAACCGCTCTTTGAGCCTAGCACGGCCACAAGAACCGTGCACCCCGTCCCCTCCAGCAACGACCAACTGTCTCCTGGAGCCAGTATGAACGATGTAGTGGGTAATAGACAGGTAGGCACCTTGTCAACATACACATCAAGCGCAACCACACCGGGGATATCAAACAACAGCCATTCACTTTAAACGACAAGCTGAAATAAAATAAATCCAACAATGCATACAGATACGGTGGCATAACTCTTCGCTAAATTACCATATGAAGTAACTGCGTTAACAACAAATCCGTGATAAGTAAGAAATGTCCACAAGTTACTTAAAAATGCTACAAAACGCAACAAAATTACCGAAGATAAGCGCAATTAGTGTAAGCAACGTGGCCAGTTAATAGAACATTATTCAGGGAGGCAGAACAAACCAAATAAAGCGGAATGAAATTTATCCAGCTTAAAAAGACCTAGTTTAAGTGTAAGTTGGTTTAGCCCAACTGCGGTGAAGAAGCATCAAGATGCAACATCAGCCTCAGCATGGGGCACATACATGGTTGGCGGCATCCGGTTTCGGATTTGCCTGTCACTGTGGCAAGCCACAGGACGCCTGCGCCTACAGAGGGACCATGGATGGCTTGCGCTGCACCACCCACAGCTCCAACCACAACCCCATATCCAGTGTAAACCCGAAGGAATAAGACCGGGAGGCATGCGGATGGGAACCACGTTTCATCAACGGAGCCGGCCCACACTCCTTCACAGGCAAACACAAGCACGCTGTATTTGGGGAATCAAGCGCACACAAGGCGGTGGCTGGACCGTAGTCCGCTCCACACTGAGTGCATGGAACCACTCTTTGAGCCTAACACGGCCACAAGAACCGTGCACCCCGTCCCCTCCAGCAACGACCAACTGTCTCCTGGAGCCAGTATGAACGATGTAGTGGGTAATAGACAGGTAGGCACCTTGTCAACATGCACATCAAGCGCAGCCACACCGGGGATATCAAACAACAGCCAAACACTTGAGAGAGAGAGAGAGAAAGAAAAGAGAGAAAAACTCGATTAATGCATAAGGAAACGGTGACATAAACCTTAATTAAATAGCATACGTAATAAGTTGTTTACAAACAAATCCTAGCTAAGTGCACGAGGTCAGGAAGTATAGTTCACGGAATGCCACGAACACAAAAATGTTATGGAAATCGAATAAAACTGGCTGACGCGATGTGTGCAAGTTAATGGAATAGAGTACATGGAGATATTCATATGAGAAAGGAAAGCATCAGGCTTACAACTGTAAACCCACCACTTGAAATAGAGAGACTTAGCATGCAAGCACGCGGTTAGTAAATCGAATCAGAGTGCTTACAAACGCTGCGCCGGCTCGTAGTAATTCCCTGCAGGACCCGTCGTCGCTTCTGTAGTGGCCCCAAATGGCACAGCGCATGGCCTACTAGACACTTATATGAGAAAGATAGGCATTAGGAGAGAACCGAAAAACCACCACCTGAAATAAAGAGACTTAGCATGCAAGCACGCGGTTAGTAAATCGAATTCAGCGTGCCTACAAACGCTGCGCCGGTGCTGCCTACGTTCACTGCGGACCCGTCGTCGCTTCGGCAGTGGTCCCGAGTGACCTCTCTCATGGCTCACTAGGCCTGCCTGACTCAGGCAAACGCGACCGCATATTGCTACAGCACCATGCGCTCGATGTCGATGGAGTACAATCCATCGGTGCTTGCCGCTTCCGCACTTGCCGCTTCTTCTCTGCATGCATGAGGGCTTTCTCCCGCACCTCAGCAACTGCCTTCGTGATTAGATCGCGCCATGCACCACGATCAATCGCCTTCGATTCCCATGATCTGCAATCAAGATTAGAACGTGTGAGGCTCACTTTAATCATGTCCTGGTATCGTAACTTTGTTTCCCAGCATGGCCGCTTCCCTATACTCAGCTGACCGTATAAAAGTTGTTTCGGTATCCGTGTCGAATCCATACGGCTCACATGACCGAGCCATCCTCAGGTGTCGCAGTAAAAGTATGCAGTCCACTGCATACATCCACTTCGGCGCAACACTTCCGTGTCTGCAACTCTGCGCCACACCGATCCGCAAAATTCGTCGCAGACACTGCTGATGGAACCGCTCGAGATATCGCACATCCGACGGTACATCGTCCACGTTTCACTGCCGTATAGAAGAACGGACAGTACCATGGATTTGTACACCATCAGCTTCGTGCCAATGCTAAGCTGATGGTTGTTACACACTCGGTACTCAAGCTTCCCGAATGCCGCTGCCTCCTTCGACACGCGATTACGCAACTCAACGTGTAGCTGCTGATCAGTCGACATCACACTCCCAAGGTAGCAGAAGCGGGAGGTGGTTTCCAATACTTCAGCACCATGCTGATTCGCGGCAATATTGAAGATTGCACCTCCGGTGAAGGCTGAAACAGACAGACAGTTTTGCTTGTGTTGATGGTGAGCCCGAATTTGGCCGCTGTCGAAGCCAGAGCACTAGTCATGTGCTGCAACTCATCCGCGCTGTGTGAAAACAACGCACAGTCGTCAGCAAACAGCAACATACGGATAGTTGTCTCACAGACTAGAGTTCTCGCACCGAAACGACGGATGTTCAGCAACCCACCATCAATACGGTGCTCCACACGAACACCGTAAGCACAATACATCATTGCATGAAGATATATATTAAACAGGGCAGGAGCTAAGACACAGCCTTGCTTCACACCAGAGACAACTGCAAAGTCATCCGAGGTCTCTCCACTCAGCTGCACCCTCGCTCGCATACCACTGTGCAGACATTCAATTAAACTTACAAACTTACGCGGGCAACCAAACTTACCCAACACCAGCCACAATGCCTCGCGGTTCCCCGTATCAAATGCCTTGGTGAAATCAACAAAAAGCGAGTACAATGGCTGGTGTCGTTCTCTGCACTTCTCTTGCAACTGACGAGCTGCAAACACCATATCTATAGTGCTGCGACCCGAACGGAATCCACATTGCTCTTCCGCCACGTTAGGTTCCACAACCTGACTCACGTAGCCGTTGCGCAGGATTCCGGCAATCACCTTGCTACATCAACCTCAGCAAGTTGATGCCACGAAATTATGGGCACATTGCTTGCTCCCTTTGTCGTTGTACAGTGGTAGCACTAGGGCATCCTTCAGCTCAGCAGGCACCTCCTAATCCACAGCGTGCCCAAGGTGCCGCATCAACGCGTCCGCGTGTTTCAATACTTCAGGCTGGATCCGCGGCCCGGCACACTCGGTTTCGCAGTGGCAGGGCTTTGCGTTCCAACGTCGGTGCCGCATGCCTTTCACTCTGCTGTTCAGCTCTAAAGTCCAGTGATCTCTTCCTTGTCAATCGGCCATACATTACTCCTTCTTGTTTTAATCTTACAACCGGCTCGACACACAACCGCCTTGTAACTTCCCGCGCTCACGTGTACGCTCCCGTCTCGCTTCATCCGTCTCTTTCTTGTTGTAGCCCATCGAATACAGTCATCTGTGTCCGACTCCAATTGCCTTCTGATATCCGCGCTTAATTGCGCGTATCGTCTCGGACTAGTATAAACTAGTCCTACAAGCCCGACTGCGGTGAAGAAGCATCATGTATGCGACCACCGTTTCAAGAATGGTTGGCGGCATCCGGTTTCGGATTTGCATGTCAATGTGGCAAGCCACAGGACGCCTGCGCCTTCAGAGGGACCATGGTTGGCTTGCGCTGCACCACCCACAGCTCCAACCAAACACCCATATCCAGCGTAAACTCGAAGGAATAAGACCGGGAGGCATGTGGATGGGAGCCACGTTTCATCAACGGAGCCGGCCCACACTCCTTCACAGGCAAACAAAAGCACGCAGTATTTGGGGAATCAAACGCACACAAGGCGGTGGCTGGACTGTAGTCCGATCCACACTGTGTGCATGGAACCACTCTGCGAGCATAGCACGGCCACAAGGACCGTGCACCCCGTCCCCTGCAGCAACGACCAACTGTCGCCTGGAGCGAGTATGAACGAGGTAGTGGGTAATACACGGGTAGGCACATTGTCAACATTCACATCAAGCGCAGCCACACCGGGGATATCAAGTAACAGCCATTCACATGAAACGACAAGATGAAATAAAATAAATCCACTAATGTAAACAGACACGGTGGCATAACTCTTCGCTAAATTACCATGTGAAGTAATTTGGTTAGCAACAAATCCGTGATAAGTAAGAAATGTCCACAAGCTATTTAAAATGCTACAAACGCAACAAGATTACCGAAGATAAGCGCAATTAGTGTAAGCAACGTGGCCAGTTAATAGCACATTA